TATTATCTTAGAAATAATTTCAGGCAAGGCCAAATCAGTTTATATAAGCAAAAGTTTTCATGAACTTATTTTGCCAAAATCTATAAGCTAATGCTGGGGTTAGTTAAGTTTAAACAGTGGCAAAGGTCAATGTAATATAACTATGCAAAAAACAAAACCCCCACACAATTCAGCAACATTAGGCAAATACCATCAGCAAAGTCTAAAACTCCAGAAATGGTACCAGGTGGCGTTTATGGTGAGATTTATTCCTCAGACCTAAACCTTTGAAGATATTTGACTTCTGCTTTGGCAACAACTTACCAAGGGTTAACAACGTAATTATTCCAGTTTATCTATAATTAGGTAATTATAGATAAACAAAAGAAAAAACCAAAAGCAAAAAACATAATATACAATATGTAAAATATGACGCAATGATTGAGGGTGAATTTTCTGGTGTCAATATGAATTTTCCAGGTATTATAAATAAATAAACAACAAACAAATTATCACTGTTCTTAAGACTTGACTTTAAATATAGTGATGGTGAAACAGATTTAGTGAAAGGTAGGAGTTCACACATCTGTTTTGTTGAGCCTTTGTTGATAAATCTTTTAATTTGACTGATTATCATTACTGTAGTCTTCCCACCTTTTATGTTTCACTCTGAAATACTGGTTTTGATCATATAATGGAAGCAAAAAATTATTTCAGCATTTCAATATTATATTAATGGTTATGTATAAGGACATGTATTTTTCTGGGGAAAGGTAAAATTTACTTACATCCACTCCTTTCCGCCTACTCTCTGTTTTAACCCAGAGCTTTAATCCAAAGAGGGATCAGTTGGCTGAGCCATCTGGCCATCCATATCATCTCCCAGAGCCCTTTTATAAACTCTCATGAGTTTCTGTCTAAACCCCTCCTTGACTTTTAGCCCCATACAGAAATATAACAATGGGTTCACACAGCTGTTAAAATAAGCAATGCTCTTTGTTATAGAGTAACACTTTTTCACCACTTTGTTTTCATTATACACAATGTCTACTAATAGAAGGCACTGATAAGGTGCCCAGCACAGGAAGAAGGCAATGACCAAACATACTAATATACGAAGGGGCCGAGATTTCCCTGACAGACGAGTGCGTCGGAGGCCCAGGCCAACCAGGATGTAACAGATGAGAATGACCACAAAGGGAAATATGAAGCTGAATATGAATTGCATGGAGTAGAGAGCAACTTTGGTGTTTTTGTTTTCCTTTGGCTTCTCCACCCACACCATTTTACACTTAGTTTGGTTGTTGTCCATGTAGATTTTGCGGAAGGTGAAGTAGGGAATGCTGAAGAGGAGCGCTATAATCCAGACACAGACTGCCACCACCCTCGCTGCGAAGAGGGTGCGTCGACGCTTCGTGAGGATGGGCTGACGGACACAAAGCACTCGATCCAGACTGATCACAGCCAGCAGGAAGACAGAGCAGAACATGTTGGTGTGTTTGAACAAACCATGAAACTGGCAGAGAAAGAGACCAAAAGGCCACCGTTCTAACTTCATCTGGATGATGGAGAAGATTCGTGTGAAGCAGAAAATCAGATCTGCTATCGCCAGATTCACCAGCCACACATTGTTGACTGCTGGCTGAAGAGACAGAAGAGACAAAGTAAAATAATATATTATTTACATGACGCAAGTAACCAGACATTGATATTATTATCCCCCCAAACAGTCATTATCAATTTATCAATAAACAGAGCAGCATGCATTATGCACACATCTAGTGATCATGTGAATAAGTGGATGTAAAATCTGGTGTCAACTAATATTGTTAAATAGCAATTATGTCACTTTGTAAAACGGTGTGTTTTAGCCCAAACCCAGTTCCCAGAGCACATAAACTTAGGTTGCTCTTGCGGATATAAAAGGAACTTCATAGCACAATAAAAACGTACTCTAACTCATGTGTTAGTTTTAGACGTCCATGCAGGGTAATGACATGCAAAACATGTATAAAATCACTTAAATAGAATCTACCTGACAAAGTTAAGTAGCCTAAAAGATGTCAGACAGCATCACATGCCATTATCAAAAGCAGGGGTGTCCAACTCCAGGCCTCTGGGACAGGTGTGCTGCAGGTTTTAGATGTGTCCTTGATCCAACAGAGCTGATTTAATTGGCTAAATTACCTCCTCAACTTGTCTTGAAGTTGTCCAGAGGCCTGATAAGGAACTAATCATTTGATTCATGTGTGTGGACCCAGGGTAATATCTAAAAGATGCAGGACACTGGCACTTGAGGCCTGGAGTTGGACACCCCTGATCTAAAGGAACTCAAGAACAGATGAGAAGCAAAGTCACTGACATCTATCAGCCTGGAATTTGCCTGCTAAGCCAAATAAATGCTTGTGACAGGATCCTGGCAATTTCAAGCACACTTTTTGTCATTATGGGGTTTTTCGTTTAGAATTTTGACATGAAAAATTACTTTAATCTACTGTGTAATTAGGCTGAAACATGGGCAATTAGGGAACAAGTGAAGGGCTGTAAAAACTTTCCAGATGTATTGTATACTGTACATAAAGAAATTAAGTTTGACTCAAGACTTTTGCACAATACTATTCATAAGTCTTAGTTACTAGCAACCACTTATGTTAATGATGTTGTTTTTTCAAGAACATATGGCCTTATTCTGGGTTTTAACTTAGATGTACTGTACTGTACTTAGTCATGATATTCACAGTGAAGACTTACAGGATTCTTATTACCTACTTTTTCTTTTTTTAACAGAGTTTTAAAACTTTTTGTACAGCATTTTTTAAGCATAAAAAAAGTTTTCAACTCTATTAAGTGTTTGATAAACTTGTCACTGAGTGTGTTTCCACGAATATAGTGTTTGACATATTCTTGTTTCTGCATTTACATGTAAGTAGTGTTGTCAGCGTTAATCTCGTTAATACAACGTTAACATCATAACCGCTTTAACGTGGCAAATCCCCGTTAGCGAGTTAACGTGGATCGGCCCGGGCGCCAACGCATTAGCGCGTTAATGCATTTGGCGTTTTCACTGAGACACAGAAGATATTACTGACAAACAAAATTTGATATTTAAACACTCTATATTCACCTTAAGTTTGATTCCAGCCATCCAGATCACCACAGCGTTTCCTGTGATGCCGAGCACAACAGTCACTGTGTAGAGGACAAAGTTGATGTTGCTTATGATGATGTCATCATTGTCCTTGGTGGACAGAGATGCATTGGAAGACATTACGTTGCTGGAAAAAAGAGAATTGAAAAGAAAATTCAAAATATTAATAACCATGTAACTCCTGATCTGACACTGAGCACAAAATCATAGGATTTCCTCATATGTCATTCTATAGTATCATACTTCCTGACTAACAAACAAACAAACAAACAGATAATTGACTGAAGCCTAACAGAAGAGGTAAATCTGGGAGTGCAAGTCATCTTAATGGATTATTATCTTAGAAATAATTTCAGGCAAGGCCAAATCAGTTTATATAAGCAAAAGTTTTCATGAACTTATTTTGCCAAAATCTATAAGCTAATGCTCCTAATCTCAAGGGATACATTAGCCTGGTGATACTGTTATAATAAGATACTTTTTATTCCCGAACTCTGCAAGAGTAGCTGTGCATGATTACACTGGCCTTTGACGCAGACCTGTATCTACAGGTCTGAGCCGTGTGGGATACCGGAGCACAACACAAAAAAGAAAAAGAAAAGAAGGAAAGTTAAAATGGCCACACTCCCTGCTGCCAAGGAAAAACGAACGCTGCCACAGGATTACGGTTTACAACAACCAGGTTTTTATTAAACTCAAAAGGTAGCAAGTTTCAGGGTGGGCATAGCAAAAACAACAAACAAAACACTCTAGAAATGAAACAGAACTGCCTTACCTATAATGAGAATCCCCAAATGTACTAAAAGAAAACGACTTCCCACCCCTACAGCTACCAGATCAACAAAAAAAAGGGTCTATTTAAGCTATTTACAATATATACAACACAGCCAAGCTCTTCTCAGCCTAGAAACACGTTCACACAGCACACCGGAAGGCCCAGGGCTAAATGCACAGCTCATTGGAAGCAGGAGCTAGAACAGGTCTGGACAGGTCCCAATTCATAGCCAGCCTGACTCAGTCTTCCACCACCTGGAACTTCCATGTTTATCTATTTTTATTTTTACATTTAACTACTGTTGTGCATGGTTGAATTATATTTTAAGGCATCTGAGGAATAGTTAAGTTTAAACAGTGGCAAAGGTCAATGTAATATAACTATGCAAAAAACGAAAAAAACCCCCACACAATTCAGCAACATTAGGCAAATACCATCAGCAAAGTCTAAAACTCCAGAAATGGTACCAGGTGGTGTTTATGGTGAGATTTATTCCTCAGACCTAAACCTTTGAAGATATTTGACTTCTGCTTTGGCAACAACTTACCAAGGGTTAACAACGTAAGTATTCCAGTTTATACATCTATAATTAGGTAAACAGTAGTCTAGTCGCTGCTATGGAGATTATATTTGGTTAAAAAAGTGTTAAAAAGGTTACGTCATTGGCCTGATCCATTAAATCTAAAAATCAATTCAGAACTTTAGAAATCCACATGAAGATGCTCCTCCGATTGGTAGCACCGCCCATTATTGTTGTTATTGTTTAACATAAACTATAGGATGTAACCATTAAAACCCGTTACAAGAGATTAAAATTATGCTTCTCATGTTAAGCAAATAATGTTCCAACCATGCCCTATCATTAGTCGTGTAAAAAGAATCTATAGTGCAAATGAAAAGAAGACAACAACAACTCCTCAAAGGAAAAAGCTGTTCTGCACAAAGGTGGTTTCTTCGGTTTAGAGAAGCAAAGCTGCTGCAGTGAAAGGGGAAATAAACATGGCATGACAGTGACCATAGAATGTTCTTCAACCACATATAGAAACAAAGGAAGAAAAAAACAAAAAAACCCAGTCATGGATGTTTGTCTACCAACCAGTCAAATTAGAGTTTGCAACCATGTCTGTCCACAGACAAAAACAAATATAATTTAAACCGAAGACTTTGAAGGAATTCAGTATCTGTGTCACAAAAGGTCACAACTGCTCTTTCTGTTCTTAAGAAATTTGGGTTTTTGCAGAACATTTTGACGTCACAGTAAAGTTGACATCTGTCTTGAAGTTTATAAAATGCTACCATTCTTTTCATAAATTGGCTGTGTGCAGGTGAAACACTGGATTTCGACCCAAAATGCAGCTATATTCGCTGAATGGGATAAAAGGTGGTACAAAACTAAACTGGAAAATTAATAACTAATAATGCGAAAAGACACATCAGGAAACACAGCCAAGAGGGAGGACGCGACACAGAACTGAGGGAGACCCGGACATAAATACACTCAAGGAAACGAGGGACGTGGGAGCACACGGGGAACCCAGCTGACACAGATAATGGTAACAAGACAGAGCAGGAGCAAACACAAGGTGACGTACACTGACGGGAGACTATCAAAGTAAAACAGGAAGACAGAGATGCAGACACGAGGGGGAGAGAGAACACGGGGAGAGCACAGACCTGACGGGCTGGGGAAACACAAGGAGGGAAACAAGGCATAAGATCTCACAATAAAATAAACAGACACAGAGGGAGACAGAGGGCAAAGATGAAAGGGGGAATCTAATAAACTAAACAGAACAACCTAGGAACCATACTGAATAAAAAAAAAACTGAGAACGCTGGGTCAAGTTACTGCTTTCTTCAGCATTACATTTATTTGTACTAAATTGCATGCCGCAAGTATTAGTAAATCACCCATGCATAATGCATTCAGATTTGATCCTTGTCAAAGGGAAACTCTTGCAAACACATATGCCATGATGCCAGAATTAAAGGTACTTCAGGTATTTGTATGCCATAAAAAGAAAAAAAAAACATCAAACTCTTTTCTTCCTGGGCACCAGGGGAACAATCAGGAAATTTCAGTATGTGTTTGAGAAAAAGAAAATGTTGCAGTGGTATAGTGATACAGCTTTTCAGGAGTGGAGATATGAATATTACTTTCATTTTTAATGCACTAAAGGATAAAAATGCAATGGTAAAGTGCAAACAGCATCCAGTACAGAAACAACCACATTATACTGCTAACACAACCTCAGCTCTTTGCCAGGATCTTTACATACAGCATACTAACGCAAAGCTAGCCAAGAACCAAGAGTGATGATAACACAGTGATGAGCAGTCAGGCTGCAGCCTCCGTGTATGTTTTAAAGTAGAATCACTGTGAAAATCACTTTTAAGTGTCTTTAGGCCAGCTGTCATCTTTACTTTGTGTTGTCTGCTTTGTGCTCATATGTAAACACTAAAAGAAAGATCCTATTTGTGTCCTCATTAGTATAAGTATTTGTGTTGGTGTGCGTGACTGTAGCTTCATGTTCATATTGTTAACTTATGAGACAGTGTTTTTCATGTCATTTTATTGAGTAATGAGAACGTAATGTAATTAATTATTTTCTCTGGTGAGTAATTAAGTAACATACTGGAACATACAAACTTACTTTTAAGAAGATTAATGCAGTACATTACATTACATTGCCATTTATTACTGAAAACATAATCAAGGTCATTAAAAAGGAGGTAGGAAAAGGAGATAGGAGGGACTTCATTGTGAAACTGGCTGGAGCTCATTTGCATTTAAAGGTGCAGACAATAAAAGAATGAATTTGAAACAGAGATAAAATTATACAGACACGTTGGAATTAAACTGTGTGATCCTCTGAGAAAAGACACATTCTGAACCTCCATTAATATGGTAAAAGTAGTTTAAAATGGCCTTATTTAAGTTGGTGTTTAAGTGTTGGACACAGTCACCACAAAGAAATGACTCCGCATTAACTGCGCTCTTCTTTCATTATACAGTCAAATTATATAAAGAAAGAAATTGAACACTTTTGATACTTACTATTTGTATCTCTGCTTAATATTTTCTATACTGGGCATAGTTCACGTACATTAGACTGAAATACTGTTTTGTACCACAATTGTGCAAGTGATGCCACACAGTCATCCTCTTCCCCTCAAATACGTGCATGTTGTACAAGATAACGATAATATCCAAAAAGCAAATTTATAAAAACCATAGTAATACACGTCTCTTGTTAAAGTCACAGTATTTACGATGAAATGTATTAATGAAATTTTCAAAAACATCAAAATTCTTTTGTAGCATCTAATGAATGATCAGATCTTTTTTTTGTTAGTTTTTTTTTAGCCTAACTTAGTTGTGCATTTTATCAACACTATCTCTGTAATATGACTTCAGTGAACACTACCAAACTCTATAACCAGCTTATACACTTACATCAATAAGAAAAACATGTGAGGAAAAATCAATGAGAATCATGCTACCAATATTACATGGAGTATTATGTAAAATTATTGTTAAACAGATCAGCAATCCTGAAAGACACAAACTGTGTAAAATGTACACAACTGTAACTCTTTTAGTCATAAGTGGGAGATATTAAGTAACAATCTTATTTGAGGAACCAAAACTACAAAAAAGTTCAGATTTCTTACTTGCAGAGTTTGAACACAGCTGATGAGGACTGCTTTAGTCTTAGTAGTCAGAGGCAGAAGTGAAAATGTATCTACTGATGTTTATCTTTGTTACTGTTACATTTGATTATTTAGTTTGTGTCATGTCTGTCTATCTCTCAATCACACACACACACACACACACACACACACACACACACACACACACACACACACACACACACACACACACACACACA